AGCAAGAACCTCAGCCACTCGGTTGTTTACCTAAGTGAAGACAGGGAAGACTCTTAGAAGCATGAATGCTTTATTTTCGGAGGCACTACTAGTTGAGGTGAACAGATGATAGGGGTACGTTGCTTTCTTGCCCTACTTGTGATGCGTCCAGAAACTTCTAGTCGTATGACTTCGATCTGACTAAGCAGGCCAGTTCATCTATTAACTCATCCATAACAAAATGTAAAAGGGCCTGTTTGTGAGTTATAGAAATTCTTGAAACCCTTTTTCAGTACCAAGGCAGATTGAAACATTGACCTACTTTATTCTTTGAGAAGTTCATGCTAATCTAGTCAAGTGTGGTATGGAGATGATTTGGCGTGCACTTAGCTGTTTTGAGAATGCTCCAACTTCCAAGTGTGGAAAGCAGGCATCTGCATGATCTAGCATTTTTCAGGGGCTGTTTTTAATGTTAAGTTCTATTTTTTTTAATACCCCATGAATTCACTTTGGAGGGAGCAGAATATGAAAATCTCTATCAGTACTTTTGCCCATTTCTCATACCTCACAAAAATACAAGATACACCACTCTCTCAGGTGACTTGTTCTTAGAGTAAATCAGCAAAATGTAGGTGCTTTAAGGGATGCAGAGGGAACACATCTATGAAGTACCTTTCGGTTTGATGTGTCAGGTGCACATTTGGATGAGTGGCATTCCTACCTTTGTACCTATGCCCAATTGCCATTTGTCATTCACATTCTCTGTTACATCTGGTTAGGGAGCAGCAGCTAAGGATTTTCCCTTCGACATCTGGATGGAACATCTTGGTCTGTCACTATCATTGCATTGTGTCAGATTAAAGATGGGAAAAATCTTTAAAATGTATTAAACTATTGTCCTGTATCCAAAGTTTCCCAATCTTTTATTATGAACACAGTTGGAAGCATCATGAAGTCTGTGGCTCAGCCTGCTCAACCTAGAGCAGAATATAGTCAAGAAAGGGATTTATCCCGGCAGCAAAGTCTCCCCAACAGGTCTACATGCTGCTTTGAAATGGACGGTTGTCCCACAAAAGCAATAAACTGATGACAACCATTGTGCCTTAGGAAGATATTTTTGATTACAGGATTCATATAATCCCTCTAGGTCCCGCTCACATAAAGGGAGATAAAAAATTTACTACATAAATTTCTGCTTTTGACTCTATACCTCTCTTACTCTATATAACTATTACGTTTATTCTGTAATGAATTTCATTGTGTTTGGGTAAATGTGGTTCAATATATTGGGAATCTGTTACAAAATCCACAAATGAGCAGACACAAAAACTTTATAGCAAGATTAAATTTCTGTGCAGGTTCAATTTACCTACCCTATTTCTGGTGTCAAAGATGGGGGGGAGAACAGGAGGGGGAAGACTTTTCACTCAAGCATCTGGCACATCATCTCCCTACTGATTACAGAACCCCATTTGCTTTTTGTGTATCAAAATCTGCAAGCTGTGGGATGGAGTTTGTTGTAGATACAATAGCTTTGCCATACACAATTCTTGAGAGCTAACTTTTTTGCATCCAGAACCTCTGTATTGCAATCTGCAGTTTTCAATACAGCACAGTGGAGAACAGAGCAAGGATGTTAAACTTAAATGTATTAGAAATAATGAAGAAATATTTGCCACATACACACATCAGCAGGCAAAGCTGACAGGAAACAGATCTTAATGGAATTTGTTATAAAAACTAGGTTTAGACCTTTTTGTGAATAAATCAAGTTTGTGTTGACTGCCCTCTCCCACCCAAATAATTTACACTTAAAATGAAAGGGTTGGCATTAGATTTGCTGAACTACAATAATAATGAGGGTTCTTTCCCCCCCTGTACTTTTTGTGGGAGGGGATTGGTTCAAATTGAAGGTTGTTTTTTCAGTTAAATATAGCATTAATTCTGAAATTACAACCTTCATTCAGGAAAAGCCCCGTGGAAGTCAAAAGCGGAGAGTTTCATTTAAATGTCATAATACAAATGAATGTGTAACTTTTAAGATAATTTACCTGTACTTAAAATATTCTTAAACGTCCTTGCTTCCATTGTGTTCAAAGAGCACTTTCACTTACTATTAATTAGATCTTTTAATTCTGTGATGCCCAACTTAACTTTTGTGTTTTTGTTTCAGACTCCAGCTGCACAGCACAATTATAACCTGCCTGAACTTTATAGAACTGAAGATTATTTTCCTATCAAATATATTGGTAGCAAGTATCAAAGCCATTAGTTCTGTATTTAAGCTTATAGCCTCACAGACAAATAAACATATATGGTATTCTCCTTCCCATTTTCCTGTTTTGCATCTGTGTTAGGGCAAAATTCATCATGGAAAAGAAACTTTGCTATTTCCAATGTACTGCATTCTATTCTGTCCATTGGAAGGGGAAAAGGCTGTTTATTACCTTTGTGTTTGATACTTGAGACACGTTTATGTAAATAAAAATCAGGAAACAAGATTTAAAAGAAAGAAAATTTTTCTGTGTGAAGACACGCTGTGAAGAAACCGCTTTATCACTTTGTAATAGCTAAAATCTGTTATAAATGCCTGGGCTGCTTCAGAGCAGAAATCTCGTTTCAAAAGTAACCTACCTAGTTATATATCTTAGTATTCAAAAGAAAAAAAAGTAACCCCATTAAAGTGGCAGAAATATTCAAA